ATTTTTTTTTAATAAATAATAATCACATATTTCACAGTTTGTAGTCAATGCCTATAAGCAACTTCGGTTAAAAACCGTTTAGACTTCGCCATCCTGTCCAAAGAGTATCCAATTAACCAGACTGCATAACAGAAAACCGAATGATAAATCTAAGTTTATTAATTTAAAACTTCAAGCCACAGAACGTTTTAAATTTGGAATAAAATTATTATAATGTTAACAACCCCTTTTAAGTACCTAGACGATTTACATAGTGTCCTCTAACGTGTTATCTTGCTGCATTGTTATCGCAAATCTATTTTATTTTAGCTGTAGTGCAATTACAAGAGAGTTCTTTTTCGGTCTTGTAATTCTATTTATGTACATTAAAAGTGTTTTTAATTTCATTGATAAGCATTTCAAATATAATGATAGCTAAAAACAGAACAAAAGTTCTGACAAAACAAAAGTAAGTAGTATTTAAAAATAAAATTAAATATCATACAGCTAACGAAAGTCCTTGAACGTGACACGAAAGTAGGGTAGAATATCCGATTTTGGCCACTGCCCGTTTTTTTTTTTTTTTGCACTTTAAGACGTTTTAACTAACGCATTGGCAATATATTACTTTACCGAGAACGATTCTGAAAATGTTGCATTATGTTAAAACTAATATCGATGACAGCTGTGATAAAAATCATCTGCCTTGTGTACGTGACGGTTAATATCGATGTTTAAGCGAACAGATTAAAACAGCCGTTCTATGGGTTAAACTTCGATCCGCTGAAATACCTAACACAGCTTTCTACAGTATGACTGTATGGGTTATTCACCAACTCGACACAAGAGACCGGACACACGTGTGTCCAGTGGGTGAAACGTATTATTATTATCACCTATTATTCTTCATCTGGACACGCCATGATCTTTACGCATGTCGACATAATGAACCTCATATAAATAACTTTTATGTTTTCACCAACTGGACACACATTCATATTTCAACCGAATTTAGGACAAAGTACAGTCACGCAGATTAACTTTTTGACAATCATCTTCGACCAATAAACGCCTCACGTGCTGGAAACGGGTAAAGTCATGCCATTCAGGCAATGCAAAATTATTCACAATTGTTGAGTCACATATATGTATGTGCAGATGATATTTTTGACAGTGCTAATATTTCGGTTACAGGATTCCTTTATCATGTAACCGGTTTTGTGACACTCCTTTGTACTCCCGGCAACCATTGGCTAACTATGACGTATTCTGCTCTGATTGGTCGGAGCAGGTAATAAATCCCGACCCTGTAACTCTGTAGTCATAATTCGTTATCAGTTTACTTTGTTTTGTGTGTGCTTCAGGTGCGTATTTTATGTTGGATTTCTATATAGGTAAGTACTCAGTTAATTTAGATTTAACATAGTGTTATTTAGATTTTTTTTACGGTATTTAAATTTTAACTAATAATCTTGTTAATTATTTCATGTAAAGACAAATATGTCTATAGAAGATATAGCAGGCTCATCGAACAGAAATACATTTTCATTTATAAATTCACAAAGAAATCATCCAATTTTATTAAAAGATGGCTACAAATATTTACACCTAAGGAAAAATAAAGATGGATCTTCAATGTGGCGTTGTTCGAAAAAGTCATCGTGTCAAGCTATGATCAAATTGAATTTTGATAACACCACTATATTAAAAGCAACCATTCATAATCATGAGGGTGATTTGACAAATAATGAGATCCTAATGAATTTAAATGATTGCGAGAATCAAGTTAAGCATAATTTAGCTTCTTCTGTCTCAAGTATATACTTGAATTCTATTGAGCGAATGGAAGATAAAGGACTTCATTTAGTGGCAAATATTCCAACTTTTCAAGGTTTGAAAAATAGACTATACAGTAAAAGAAACAAATCATTGGGCGTTCAACGCATTTCATTTAATAATATATCCAATATAGTTGTACCTAAACAGTTTAAAGATATATTGCTTGCAGATCGCATAGGTGATCAACGTATTCTCGTTTTTGCCCACCATAATATGAGAGAAATTGTTGCCCATTCAAAGAGATTCTTTTGCGATGGAACGTTTAAAACATGCGTTAGAAAATTCCATCAGCTATTTACGATTCACGTCGATATTGGGAGTACAGAACATCATACGAACATTATTCCCACTATTTATGCTCTGTTGCCCAATAGAACAGTAGAAACTTACAAAACATTATTTTGTTTAATTAAAAGCCAAATACCGCAATGGAAACCAGAAACCATTACATGTGATTTTGAAAAACCTCTTATACATGCTTTGCAATGTGAATTTCGAAATATAAAAATTGTGGGGTGCTATACACATTATAAAAGATGTCTGTGGCGAAAGGCAGAAACGTTGCGCTTAACAAAGTCGAAATTGAGTAAAGATCACGTGAAGAGATGTTGTACATTACCGCTTTTACCGATTGACGCTCAATCAGATGCTTGGTTATATATCATGGCGGAATGCTTAAGCTCTGAAGATGCAACAGCATTTAACGATTATTTTATTAAAACGTGGATCGATGAAAATTCAGAATATTCAAACACATTCAACTGCTATAAGGAACATCATCGCACCAATAACTCTGTAGAGGCATGGAATGCTAGAATAGCCAAAAAGTTGAAACGAAAACCAAATATATTACAGTTTCTGGTCGCAATCAAAAGAGATATGAGTGACTTTTGTCGGCGGGTTATGATGGACGGTCCTATTTCAAGAAAAAAACTTGAAACTATCAGAATGAATTCTATGATTGCAGCCACTGTTAGAGAGTTTGAATCAGGAGAAATAAGTATCGGTCACTGTATCGAAAAACTTAAGTAATCAAAGAAATATTTTTATTTAATATTATATCTTGTTCTGTTGATTTTATCGATCTCTATAACTAAGTCTTAGTGAAATTATCTAAGTCTAATTGACATTTAGTTTTGGTTGCCTTTGACACGAAAGAAAAAGAAGTGAAATTATCATGATACAAGTAATACTCTATTTTAAAGTGTCAAATATTGTTAAAGAATTCTGTAAAACGGTTATTTATTGTAAAATGACCCATTTTAGCCTTGTTATATTATAAGTATGCTTTGTTGGTGATTATTGTGATATTACTTGTAATTATTGAATTACTATATTTTAATGTGTCAAATATTGTTGTTAAATAATTATGTAAATTGATTTTTTTTTTAATATTACCCATTTAGTTTTGTTATGTTATAAGTAATTTGTGTCGATTATTGTGATATTTTATTTAATGTTACATGCGTATAGCTTCATAAGGTTCATCATTACTACTTCGAGTACAAACTTTATTGCAACTAATAAAAGTATGTTCACATTTGTATATGTAGGTAAGTTTTTTATTTTTGTGATATTTGAAGTGATGATTTAATCATTAGATATGTATATTTAGATTACACGCTATTCCTATACATTGATAGTCAAAAGTTATGTTTTATGTTAATAAATGATATCATATTTGATTGTTATATATTTGTTTTATTTTATAAAGCATAATAATTTTCTAGCAAGAAAAAAGAGCATCTTATACATGAAATCGTCTCACTCATCAATTAATGATTGAAACAATTTTTTACTTGACTGTACCTTTTCTCAGAAAAAAAGCTAGTGTGGCCAGTTGGCGAAAACATAAAAGTTATTTATTTAAGTTTCACTATGTGGACATGCGTAAAAATTATGGCGTGTCCAGATGTAGAAATAATAAGTGATAATAATAATACGTTTCACCAACTGGACACACGTGTGTCCGGTCTCTTGTGTCGAGTTGGTGAATAACCCGACTGTATAATCCTCAGCCAATTGGTTAAATCATGATACGAGATTCTTATTAATATCCGTGATATTTATTAATTTTTAGTTGGGTAGCTCGGTGGCGTAGTGTATTAGCGCCGCGGGCCGCGCTCGTTGTTGTTAAGCAACTTTCTCAAGGGTCGGTCACGGGATGGGTGACTAAAAATTATAATCTTGAGCTACTCCGTGCTTTGGAAGACACCCGGGCTCCGGTTCTCCGGTTGGCAAGGCTCCGGTTGCATTTGCAGTCGTTAATACTCTCCAATCCGCATTGGGTCAGCGTGGAGGATTATGGCCTATCCTCCTTAACCATCCATATGGAAGGCCTGAGCCCCTACAGTGGGTACGTAAAAGTATTGATTATGATAAGTAAACAATTGGAATATACGAAGACTCCGCTATCGTCCGTCCTTCGTTTAAAATATAGTAAATACGTGCCAAGGTCATTTTTGGTTTTTTCATTATGATAAGATACTGTTTGAAACAGTTCATCGAACTCTTGAATTGAATATCCTAAGTGTTAAGATATTTTGATCCAGAACCTAAATTATTTAAATATTTATCAAGACAATTTTCTTCCTTGTGTCGTCTTGTATCATCTTTGATTTTTATTTTTTATTTTTGCTACTTAATAATATATCCAAAATAGTTCTGCTATCGCTAAAATGTATTACACCGAGTTATATTATTAAAATGATACAGTTTTTCAACTCAAATATTGTTTCTCTTAAGCTAACAAAGATATAAGATTACACTAGTCTGTTTTTAAATCTACCTCAACCTATAAATTTCATAAGATGACAATATCTTTCTTTTATCAAGGTCAGCTTGAGATTGAGACTCGACTGGATTAAAAACACATATAGATGACTTGGTTTACTTAAATTTTACTCATTACTTCGTAATTACTGTGGTTATTAGTTTAAAGAAATATATCTATCCATATGTCAAACGCAAAACTATATAAGACGTGTACGCATTATTCAAATAGAATATACGCTGTGAAAATTAGTGATGAGACGGATCTTCGAGTTAAACCGCGGTAACTGAAAAGAACTAATATTTATAGAAAAAACTCATAAAATCGTAATCTACAATGCCGATTCAAGATTAGATAAGTTACTATTAATGTTGATATTTGAATGTTTTGTATTCAATTCGATACTTTATTTCAACTGAAATTGTTTGAATAAATAAAAATGATATTCCTGACAGCACTGTTTGTTCAATTGCTTGTAATAGTATCCACCGATGCTAAGGGATATCGAAGCTCCGCACTAGATCACAATCTTCATGAGAAAGTGTTGGATCCACAACAATGTGAAAAACAACTTGAATATATTATTAGTGATGGCAGACAGCTGAGGGCCCAATGTAAGTGTTTAGTAAATAATTCGTATATGCTAATAAGAAAAAGAATATTAAGTGATCAGTCATAATATTGAAAATCCATTTTGTAGTCTACTAGTAAAACCACAGCAGTTATTAATTCTTACTATAAAATACTGAAGCTTATACATATTATTATTAATAGCTGACTGAACTTCTTGTGATAAGGAAATCAGGAATAATGAAGGTACAGAAACAATAAACTCTGTCAGTAATCGACCTGACTTAAAAGAAAGCGATACCTTAAACCTGGCGTGTAAGTTACATGTATCATTTAGTCACATGTATTACTTAATAAAATCTCCAAGAACTTACTGCATAAGAATCGAGTATGTAGTCTTTAAAGAAAATCTGTTACAGTTATGGATGCAAGTGTAAGAACACCGCGAGGAATTTTACTGAACAATTACAGAGATATGGGTAATTATTACCAATGCTTGGATATAAGAAATTATGCCGACAATATGCAAGTGGAAGGCAAATACTGCGTAATAAATATCCCAATCCCTCATGATTTAGATACTATAAGTTTACCAGGAATAGGACCAGGGTTTCCTTGGACTAATCATCGTGACTGGGATAATTATTTTAACAGAAGAACAAGTGAAGGGCAATCTTTAGAATCATTGCAGCAGTACGAGCTTGGAAAAGAAAACGTAATGTTTCTTCTGGGAACCGCCGAAGTCTCGTCGGGGTATGGTGTTATTATTATTTATTTATTTTTATTCAATTTAATATAATTTTTGAACACTGTGATATATCAAACGCAAAAATTCGAAAAAAAACAGACAATTGACTTGTATCTTTAGATTACAAGAAGACCTATAGGTAGCCAATGTTTTTTTAAATTTTGTGGACCCTATGCTCACGAGTCTGAGTCTCTCTTGGCCGATATTTAGAGAAGTAACTATATCTATAGATAGTAGCATCTCATGAGGTCTAAAATGAGATGCAAATGTAGTTTCAGTACCACTACGATTTCGCGTAAACAATATTTTATATTTACTTAGATAAGTACACACATATATATTAATATGTGTACTTAGAATTTTTAGTGTCTTTGGATACTTTATGAAACTATCATCAAAGCTTTATAAGGGTTGGTGCCAATCTGACAGATCATCTATCAAGTTTAAATGCATGAATGTCTTTATATATATTTGGTCAGTTCTGCGTTCCGTGTCAGATGTTACGTGACGGATCTTACGTCACATATGCACTGACCAAAAAAATTAAAATAATAGATCTGATGCTTTACAGAAAAAGTCGGTATACTAAGAAAAGTGGCATTGAATTTGAACTGGCCATATGTATTCCTAAAGTATGCTCAACTGAACATGCTCTAAGGATTTTGATAAACGACACGACTGTAACATCGGGTGTCAATGAAGCATTCTGTCGGCTCCCTAATGACAAGCCATGGGTTGCTGCTGATTATGTAGCAATGTAAGTTAATGCAATACTATAAATCCTTAGTTTGCACTTGCATCATATTGATTATAATCCGGAACTTTTTTGTTCTGTATGTCTAATGCTTATCATTCATAATATCAGCTTTATATACTCTAAAGTTCTATTAAATATCATACTATATAAGTATTTCGTTAAATTTTCAGTGTAATATTCTCAAGCATTGGTCTTTTAACAATATTAAGTACATTTTACAATATTCGACATACAGTTGTACTTAAAAATGGTAAGTCTTACATATGAAAATCTAGAAGACAATAAAATATTGATCATGATAGCTATTATCGTTGTTAAGATAGCAATATTAAGAAACCAAACTGCGGTCGATGAACTTTCAATGTCTTTGTGATAATATTGATTCACCTACACAGGTTGCTTTTATGTCCTTGAAATGTTTTATGGTCTTACCAATAAAAGACATTTCTGTGGGTCTTATGATTGGTCAATTATCTGAGATAATATTTGGCATTTTTAAGTTGAAGCATGTATCTAATTCCCATTATTTTTATGGAAGATAAATTAATGTGCCAATATGGGTAATTATATAATATAATTATATCATTATTTAATGTTTTGCAGATTCAAAACAAGCAAGCAAACTGTATATGATATTCTCAGTGTACGCGAATACTAGGAAATTCTTCAATTATAGATCAGACGTAAACGCATTAAACAGCGTGGAAGGTGTCAGATCGATTGCAATGCTTTGGATTATACTTCTCCACACCTTTGCTATTCAGTTTAGCTTTTTACCTGCCAATCCACAAGATGTACATGAGGTAAAACTAGTATTGGTACTATTTTTTCATTATAAGAGAGCGTGATGAGGTTACATTTAAAGTGCTCACCACCAATCTACCCAAATGGCCCTGAAAGGCCCAGTTCATTATGAGCCCTTAAATGAATCCTCTATATGAGGATTAAATTTGGGAAACCATGACCACTTCGTTAGATTACTCCTTTGACATTTACAGCCCGTGACATAATAATGTAAATAACCTATACCTACAATTATGAAGTATAGGTAAGCTGTAAAAGTGATTTGAAAAAGATCAGCAGCTACAATCGTAAAAAATAACACCAAAGTGAATGTTTAAACTTGTACTATGAATTTTAGTTCACGAAATCTTTCTGGTCTCTTTGGATCACCAGTGCAAATGTATCAGTCGATACATTCTTTATGCTAACTGGACTACTACTAGTTTACAATCAAACGGCGAAGACATCCAGACGTAAGTATGGTTAAATGATGATATTAAAAATCTTATCAAGTCGTCTTAAAAATTTATCGTCAATACTGATTTAATATTGTGTTTTGTATTTTGCAGTAGATTTCTTGAAGAATCTACATGTATTTTACTTGAATCGTCTCCTACGTATGTTTCCTGTATTAGCAACTGGAATACTTCTTCAAGCATCTTTTCAAAACCATATAACTGACGGGCCTTACTGGGGAGTAGTCGCAAAGAGTACGGACGACTGTCGACAATACTGGTGGACAACTTTGCTCTACATTCAAAATTTAGTCAGTTACGGCTATTTGGTATGTGCGTTTTAAAATATTTATTTTAATGGCCTTTAACTCTCAATAAAAATATGAGTAAATAGTTTCTGTTCAAAACATACCTTTCGGAGAAAAAAAAATTGGAGTCAGATCGTTAGATTTTCACACCAAACCTTAAAGTAACCATCGTATAATATTGCAATGTTGCACACTTTGAAAAACAATCGCATGTGGTTTAATATTTTATTATTATTTTTTCAGTGTCTTGGCCACAGTTGGTATCTTGCTGTAGATATGCAATTATATGCATTGTCTCCCATTGTTCTGGTTTGGATACTAGGTGGAAACAAGAGATCTGCATGGATGGCGTTGATTGGTTCTCTACTAGCAGTACTCACAGCTACTACCATATACAACTTCATAATGGAGTTCCAGGCTTCTTCTTTTGCTATGTCGTAAGTATTTTTCATAGAGCGCCTCTTCTGCAATACAGTTAATATACTACGTAATTATTTTAATTACTACTGGTATTTATTGCATTTTATCACGTAAAAATATTATTGTTAATTTTTTTAATCCCCGTAAATGTTTTTGAATACTTCGATATCTTCACAACATGTAAATAATTACTTATTTAATATCTAAAAATAATTATTTATAAATTCAAAATTCGAAAAATCAAAAGACTGCAGATTTGCATAGCATGATTATTTTCAACGTAAAATTTATATCAAAATAAATCTTCATATTGATTTTGAAAAATATTTACTTTATTATAGACGATCGCCAGAAGATTCAGCTTTCTATACTCGATATTACTATATTCACACTTTCCCTAGAGCAGCACCATTTTTTGTCGGGATGGTCTTTGGATATGTGTTGCATTTATGTCGTGGAAGAAAAGTTCGGTTATCAAAGGTAATGATTTTAAATATATAAAAAGTATCAGTAGTAATTTTACAGTATGGTCATTTTGTATTACTTAAAGCATTTATAGTTATTACTTTTTGTTGACTCTTATAATAACAACTGAGATCTTTGTACAATATAATCATCTCTTTTATATTTTGTAGGTTTTAGTGGGGTTCTCATGGCTACTCGCGTCGATCACGTCTTTGACTGTTATCTTTTCTACTTACTTCGTCGTTCAACCGGAATGGGATAATCAAAACGTTGATAGCATTATAAACTCCTTTATGAGACCAGCTTGGGCTGCTTGTGTTGCATGGCTGATTTTTGCATGTGTTCACGGTTATGCAGGTAAGAATAGAAAATTCAATACAAATTTAAATTGATGGCATGTTAAAGAAAATTCAGGTTAAGTGTACCCTAAAACATGTTTTTCTATGAAAAGCTCGATACGTGTAAAAGAAGTGAGAGAGCCATGTCAGAATCGTGCAAAATGGAAAGAGGTGGCCTCTGCCATACCGTTCATGATAAAGTAATGTATTTGACTATGCATTAGTTAGAACTCCTTGGAGAAAATCCGGGTCCTCTACTCTAATTCTTTGAATATACCACAATTACTGTTAAAATTATTAGACGTCCTGTATTATGAGTATATTGTAAAGCATGTATTTCTTCCAGGTCCGATGAACTGGTTTCTCTCGTTAAGTTTATTCAAGTTCTTAGGTCGACTGTCCTATGCTATGTATATTTTACATCTACCAATTATCTACATAATTAATGCTACAACCTTGGCACCTATTTACTTCTCAATAGAATTTTCTGTAAGTACTGTCAATATATTTTGATTTATATTAATATTAATCATTGATACTTAGTCATTTTCTTCTTTCAGATGCATAAATTCATTGTTGATTTGATAATAACGATAACTGTTTCTTTCCTTGTAATGATTTTCATTGATGTACCATTCTCAACTATTTTTGGAATGTTACTTAAAAGTAAGTAAACTATTTTTACCTATACTATCCTGTTAAACAACAGCCTTTTTCTGTAACGTTCTAAACCTTTTGGTGTTACATTTTGAAGTAGGTTTCTTTAGAATGAACCTCTATGAGGTGACAGTGTCGCATTCGACGACAAGTTCCGCGATGTTTTTATAACAGATTAATATGTGAAAATGATTTAATCAGCTTCGATTGGTTTTAAACATCTTGCTGCTAATTCTGAAATTTTGATAATAAATAACATTGGTTAATGATTACAGTAACATTATACAAGATTATCAATTAACGATTAACGTATTTAATAGAACAACAATTATTGAATAAAAAAAACTAATGCAGCCGGGACCAACGTTTAATATGCCTTCTGAAGTACGGATAATCAAATTTTCGGTTGCCTATCCTATGAGCGGAATTTGCGAAAGTTGCTCACCTTCCGCATCGCAGACTGAACGCGCTTAATGCGTCATCTAGCTCCTGTAATACCAACATAGATATCGTTATTTTATACTTATGTTTAAAAATTATTTTGTCGAATAAAAACAATCTTTTGTTTTTGTGTAGTAGATGTAGTGAAATTGAAAACGCCTCAGTAGTCAATTTAGTTTAAAGTAACAAGTAATATATATTAATTTCAGATGCAAAAGTAGAAAACATCCGGAAAATTAGACATAAATACGCAACAACAGCTGAAGACAACTCATTGAAGCGTAGAAATAACGATTGTAACCTATAAAATGGACCTAATTATTTATTATATAAATATTTTATACCTATTATACAATACTAAAGAGTTCAAGTGTAATTATTTTAAGTTCTAGCTGTGATTAGTTTTTCTTACTCATCTCTTGTATTAGAGCATCTGTCCAACCGGCTTATTATAAATTAATACTGCGCAAACGCTCATAGTCCTCTACATGCATTTATTAAATATTTTAATAAATGGTGAAGATTTTATATCAATCATTTTTATTAGATAACACATGAAGTGCTTATTTCTGCATCAGACAACAAAACTACCTAAATAACGTAGCACATGGTAGGTAATTTCAAACTTATTAATTACAGAGCGAAAATATTAGACCGAAATTAATTACAGAGCGAAATTATGAGACAGTTTTTGTTGAATTTCTTTGTCGTCTACGTTTCCAAGGTATTAATTTATGACAAAGCGGTATAAGGCACAGATTATTAATCAAACCAGAGTCAAACAAAAGCAAGGTTAATTTTTAACCGTAGGAGAGCCACGCTTCGGCATGAATGGGCCGGCTCGACCGGAGTGATACCACGGCCTCACAGAAAACCGACGTGAAGCAACGCTTGCGTTGTGTTTCGTCGTGTGAGTGAGGGTACCGGAGGCCCAACCCCTCCCTATTCCCTTCCATCTACCCTTCAACCCTTTCCTCCCTATGATCATATTCGTCCCTCTAAAGCCGGCAGAGCGCTTGTAGCCCCTCTGGTGTTGCAGGTGTCCATGGGTGACGGTAATAACTTACCATCAGGTGACCCGTCTGCTCGTCTGCCCCCTATCCCATAAAAAAAAAACTGGCTTCAAAAAGGAGGTTTCGCAATTCGACCGTATATTTGCTTTTTTATGTTAGTTCGCGGATAACTTCGTCGTTTATGAACCGATTTTGAGAATTCTTTTTTCTTTATTATATTTCATCAACTTGGCATTCGTAATGCTATACTAGTAAATACTCTAAATGAAAAATTCTTAAAAATTTAACTTTATCTCTGGCACTCTGAGATGGGATTCGAACCTACGAACTTTCGAAATCCGGGCGACCGCTCTTCTTTAATTATTATTACTTGATTCTTTTTCATTAGATAGCTTAGTTATTATATTAATTATATACATTATAACAATTTTTATTGATATCGATTTATTATAGTACCTTTTCTTGTGAATCTCATTTTCATTTTTATTTTATTATAACATATTTTTAATCTTCTTTATTACTTACATTAATTAATAAATGCATGTTTTAGCAAAAAAATTTCATAAACGTAAAAACTATATGCCTGAACTCTGGAGCAGAGCCAAATACTATGTCGAGATAAGTTTCAAATAAGAGGTCCATAAAAAGATTATTTTAGAAAAATCGAACTAATTTATTCAATTAATGATCTCATATACCAATATAATAATAATAATAATAAAAATAATAATAATCCTGATCGTTGCGGTCGTGGCCTCCTGATCGAGGCGGTCGTGGCCCAACATCCTGAACGATGCGGTCGTGGCCCAACAGGTCAAACGCAACCGACGCAACTTCTCTGCAGCCTGGATAGACTACAAAAAAGCATTTGACTCGGTTCCCCATACGTGGTTGAAGAGGGTCCTCGAGCTGTACAAGATCGATAGTACAGTGCGAAACTTCCTCGAGACCTGTATGGGGCAATGGAGTACGCAGCTTAGTCTGTTCGGGGTGCAGCTGTCGGATGCGGAAGACCGAATAAAGATTGAGAGGGGTATATTCCAGGGCGATTGTCTGAGTCCACTTTGGTTTTGCCTGTCCCTAAATCCGCTTAGCACTTTGCTGGATAAACCAGGGACAGATTTTCAGTTGAAGAGAGGATTGTTCAAAATATCTCACCTCTTCTACATGGATGATCTCAAGTTGCTTGCCCCGAATGCTCAGAGGCTGGCGGAGCTGCTGAAAATCACAAAGGATTTCAGTAGCTCCATCAGCATGGAGTTTGGGCTGGACAAGTGTGCGGTTATCCATGTGGATAGAGGTTGGATAAGTGATTCCACCCAAGTGGACCTACCGGATGGATCCACCATCCGTACCCTCTCCGAAACTGATACATACCGGTATCTGGGTATGTCACAGAATCTAGGTTTGCATACGGCTGGCGTGAAACAATCCGTTAAGGAGGCCTTTTTGGGACGCCTGACTAAGGTGCTTGAAAGCTACCTGTCAGGCGTCAACAAAGTCAGGGCCATTAACGGTTGGGTCATGCCAGTCCTAATGTACACCTTTGGCATACTTAGATGGACTCAGACCGAATTGGACGCCCTGGATCGGAAAGTCCGCACAACTTTGACACTCCATAGGATGCACCACCCGAGATCGTCAGTGATGAGGCTGTATATACCGAGGAAGAGCGGCGGTCGTGGGCTGCTCAGTGCGAAAACCGCGAGATACATAGTCTCCGTAATTACTTCCTGGCGAAATCGGAATCCAGTGAGTTGCATAGAGATGTCAAAGCATGTGATGTAGGACTAACCCCTCTCTCTTTGGCCACCGAGGAATGGCGAGAACCGGCAGTACTTAGCACCACTGACCGAGAGGCCGTTTGGAGGGAGAAGGAGCTGCACGGTAGGTTCTATAAGGCGCTACATGAGCGTCACGTGGATCCGAGAGCCTCCGTGCACTGGCTGCGCTTCGGGGACCTCTTTGGGGAAACCGAAGGTTTTGTCTATGCAATACAGGACCAGGTCATTATGACCCGAAACTATCGGAGGTATATCCTGAAGGATGGGACAGAGGACGTTTGTAGAGCCTGTCACCAGCCCGGTGAGTCACTCAGGCATATTACTTCCGGTTGTCCTGTACTGGCTAATACCGAGTATTTGCACAGACATGACCAAGCAGCCAAAATACTCCATCTCGAGCTAGCCTTCAAATACGGCCTCATAGGCGAAAAGGTGCCGTACTATAAGTATGTGCCGGAGCCAGTTCTTGAAAACGACCGCGCTCGATTGTACTGGGACCGGTCCGTCATTACGGACAGGACTGTTCCTGCGAACAAGCCTGATATCGTACTGATGGACCGGGCGGAATCTCGGGTGTTCTTAGTGGATGTCACCGTCCCATTCGATGAAAACCTCGTGAAAGCCGAATCAGATAAAAAACTTAAATATCTGAACCTGGCGCACGAGGTTACCGATATGTGGCGAGTGTCATCCACTGAGATTATCCCAGTCGTAGTGTCAACGAATGGCCTAGTCCCAACTTCTCTTCACGACCATCTGAAGAGGTTGGGACTCCGTGACGGACCAATGATTGCAAGGCTCCAGCGGGCGATCTTGCTCGATAACGCAAGGATCGTCCGCCGTTTTCTCTCTTTGTCGCCCTGACCCCCGGCCGTCTGGCCTCCTCTGCCAGGGGGAATCCTCCCACCCCTCGAATCGTCGAGGGGTCGGGAAGAGTAAATTATAAATATAGGAATAATAATAATTTATTTGCCTTTATATTGTAGAAATGTAGGTAATCTCATAATTATTAATATTGTATATAATAAGGTAGGACCTGTGTACCACATTCATTCGCAATATACAAGCCACCGTGAATACTTGTTTTAATCAACTATATCCCAAATAGTTTATTGGCGACGAGGATAAAAGTGAAAAATGTCATTCGGAAAGGTCACTGACTTCAACATCAATTCCGGGAATTGGACGTTATATGTGGAGAGACTGGAAATGTATTTTAAAGTCAATAGGGTAGAAAATAATTTATGGCTGCCAACTTTAATCACAGCGATCGGAGATGAGAGCTACGAACTGTTGAGTAGTTTGGCGAGCCCTAAGAAACCAGCGGAGTTGACATACGAGGCGGCGGTCACCTTAATGCGGCAGCATCTCCAACCTCAACCCTCGATAATGGCGGAACGGTACCGGTTTCGGCAAAGAAGGCAGCGGAGTGATGAAACAGTAGCGCAATACGTCACTGAGCTAAAAAAGTTATCAAGAAATTGTGACTTCGGCAGTGTATTAGAGGACAATCTGCGTGATCAGCTGGTTTGTGGGCTTCGAAGTGACGTCATACGGCAACGGTTATTCGCGGAAGACAGTTTGAAATATAACGGCGCGATAAAGTTGGCGGTTGCACTGGAAGCAGCGGAACGGGATGCGGCAACAGTGGAGGGTTCCACAGCGGCAGCTAACGAGGTATCTTCGGGACTGCACACAGTAGCGGCGAGAAATGACCGGGCGGAACGCCCGCGTTGGCGGACTTCAAACGGGCAAGCGGGGGTCAGGCGTTGTACGGCGTGTGGAGTGAACGGACATAATAACGAGGCGTGTCGTTACCAAAAATTTGTGTGCAGCAAATGCAAGAAGAT